AAACTTCTTTATCGCCATCGGAGACGCTTAAATCGTTTCTCATATTATAAAAGATACTTTCATGAACATAAATTAGAAGCCCTCCACCTCGTTTACTCGTTTTTCTTTCTTGTGAGATAATTTTAAAATGAGGAATATTAAAATTATTGTCAAAATCGTTTAATGTAACCCATGTTTCAGTTAAACAAATGATATTAAATAGATTTTTTGTTTCTTCTAATAAATTTAAAAGTTTTTCAAAATTCCGATTTAAGCTTCTTATATTGAGGTGGAGAATTCTAATTTGATTGGAACTTTTTTTAATTGCATTCTGAAAAAGAAAACCTTCAAGCTCTTTAGGATAAAAATAAGCACAATCCGTAAAAGTATCGTAATAAAAATTATTATCTGGGTCTATGTTTTTATCAGAGGAAAAGTGGTTTCCTTCAAAAAAATTAAAAGAAATGGATTCAAAATCGTTCATAAAAGCCATGATTATTAAAATTAGGTTAAGGTTTCTTTTTTAGAATGCGTAATTCGATTATTTTTTTGGAACGTTTTTTAAAATATTAGTTTTAAAAGAAATAATTTTATCGTAACGAACCGAAACATTCTCACCGTTTAAACGTCGTTCTTTTACTTCCGCAAATAGTTTTCTTCTGATTGCAACTGTTTCGCGAGAAAAATCCTCGTTTACATAAATGTTTGTTCCTCTGAGACGAGCTGATTCTTTCAAAATTTTAACTTTGTCTTTGTATTGTTGAAGTTTTAAAACTATCACCCTCGAACGTCCATCTTTTTTTGGCCCAGTGCGATGTGCTCGTTCAATTTCAATACTCTTTATACCCAGTTTTTGTAGAAAAAATGAATGAACTTTTTCTTCGGTTTTGTCCCAAGATTCTACTTCGTCTTCACATATTCCCTCAATTCTCAAGTTATTTCTCCGCGATCTATCTTCGAGGTTACGGATTTTTTCGTTTAGAAATTCGTTATTAGTTCTTTCTTTCTCTAATTGTTTGTTGATGTCGATTTTGTTTAAAAAATGTTTGTTGTTACTTTCAATCTTTTTATCAATTACGTGTTCGTTGAAGTTTAAACTTTCTTTTATATCTTCAAGCTCTATTTCAATTTTTTTAATCTTGTTTGCATTTTGAGTGATATTTTTCTCAAATTTATCCAATCGTTCGTTTAATATTTTTGTATTTGCACTAATAATATCAATTACTGTTTTTTCTTGGTTTTTTAATAAAACTAAAGTTTCCTTTTTAAAATCATTAAGCATTTCTTTCATCATTTTTTTTATTTCTTTAAGTGTTACAGCCATACCTGATGTTGATAGGATCTTTTTAGTTAGTAGATTCGTAGGTTTTTTAGTTGTTTCTTTATTATACTTCAATTCCGTAGACTTTATTTATTTATTTACTTTTTTCTAGTCGATAACTTTTATTTAATTCAGTAGAATTTTTAATACTTTTCTGCGCAGAAAAGCGTCTGTTCACTTCGAAAGCTTGCGTGAAAAAAAAAAAAAAAAAAAAAAAAAAAAAAAAAAAAAAAAAAAAAAAAAAAAAAAAAAAAAAAAAAGATTGTACATTCATGTCTATCTCAGAACTATTTTCAGCTTGTGCTACATAAACATTATTGGCATTGTTTCCAGAAGCTTCTTCAACAATATTTTGTTTAGAATCTTGTGCAGTTCTGGAACATTCTAGTGCAGTTCTGGAACATTCTAGTGCATTTCTGGAACATTCTAGTGCAGTTCTGGTTAAACTAAAGCGCCTCTTCTTCCTGTTTAAATATTAAAAAGTAAAAATCTTTTTAAAAAACTTTTCAAAAGCTTATAAATTTAGCTATTTTAATATGTAAATGCATGGCCAAAGTCACACAAAAAAGTTATATTAGGTTACTAACCGTGTACTTAATTCATAGCAGTCTTCGCCGCTTTCACTAGTTGGAGCTACAAATTCGTCACTATCATAACTGCTTTTTTTATCAAATACAACTCCTTCCATTTTCTGTTGATATTTTACTTAAAACGAAAATAATAACTTTTCAAATGTTTTATTTTTACTTTCAAATGATTTTTAAAATCTTTTTTTAACTACGCAGCCTGGTTTTTATTATTGATACAAAACTGTTTTATTACAAGTTGTTTAATTTTTAATATTACTGTTATATTTGATTTAACAATTTAAAATAAGTTACTTTGTAAAATCAACGTTCTAAATTGCACATATACCGACTAACCGTTGTAGATAAGTGAAGAAAAATGAACAAGTATTGACTTACTTTTTGGGGTAGACACAGCAAAATATAGTTAGATCGACTTACCGTAAGGGAATGGCGCGGCAAATTGTACTTGCATTGACTGTGAAAAGTTTGTAAATTTATTAATGCATAAACATCATTATTTTAAAAAAATATTTTAGCTCATAAATCCCCTTTTTATTTTGAATAATAATAGTTATTTCTATGCTAATCGAAACCAGAATTTTGTTTTTCAATGTTACAGGTGTCAATTTGAGTAAAGCTACAGAATGTTATAAAAAAGATTTTTTTTAAATGTCAAATAATAGCTTTAATGATATTTTATTCTACATCGGTGTCAGAATTTTTTAATATGATTTTTTATCATAATAATTAGTTAATAGAAACCAGCAAGAGATTATGCAGTTATTGTTAGTTAGAACCTTGTCAAACTAAATATCATTTAACTAAAGTTGCAGATAGAACTTTGGCACATTAGCAGTTTGCTTGTTTTACGCTATATCGCTGTAAATTTCAGTTTATTTTGTTCATCATGATTAAAATAGTCTAATAAAATGATAAAGTCGATTTTGGCAAAAATGTCAGTTAGAACCTTGTCAAACCAACGCGACGAACTAGTATATATCAAAATATATCAATAGACATCCCCAGTTTTATTACACTAGACTGTGTATCATTTTAAAAACTTGCATTTTAAGTAATAAATAAGGAGAAAAAAGGTTTCAAATGTGAAAAATAAATTTCGGACTTTCCCTTAGACCTACACCCTGCTAAATTTGTGTTTTATTATATTAATTAATTTTATTAAACATATAACATGGCCGATGATTAGTTCAAAATGTCGCTTAATTCACAAGTTTATATAGCATTTTAAAGAAAAAGTTAGTATGTTAAAGAAAAGCATCATTTCCTTTAAAGTTAGGCGACCGAATATTACTTTAATTGTGTAGAACTTTTGATATCACGATATCCTTTGGATACAAGAAAGGAAGACAGAGAGTTATTACAAGTAGAAGCTGTTTATAGTTGCATCGATAAAAACTAGTATTTGTTCCTTGATTTTCTTTTATAATCAAGAAGAAGATTTTAGACTTATTAAGTATGATTTTAATTAACCATATTGTTTATCCTTTATGAGATTCATGATAATCGTAATAGGAACTATGACGAACCACATTAAAGAAAAAACTTGTTTACTTAGTATTTTCATAAAAGCTATTACTGATTTTTCTTTGGGTGTTATGAAATGTGAAATTGTGGCATGGATACTTTACGAAAGTTTTTTATACCTGTGGCTTTCTGTCTCAAAGAATATCATTAATGGTGCAGCCTCAACTTCTTCTTCTGAATTTATAACAAATTTTGATTTTATTGTTGCTCTGTGTATAACAAGACATGTTTTTAATATAACTTTTTAAATTACATAATTTTGCAAGCAAGTAATAATGATAATTTTTATAGTTTAAATCTTATTCAAGCATTAAAAGATTTTGTCTCTATAGTTAGAAATATTATTAATCAACACCTCTAAACAAGCCTAAAAATTGCTTTTCAAATTATTTTAACTTCGTTATCGCTGTTTCTTTGCTAGACTATGAGTTTTATCTAGATTACTGAAATTAACACTATGGTTGATTAATACAATTTTGAAGTGTTATAAAGCACCTGTACTTTAATTTCTTCTTTCTAATTTTCTGTTTCTTCTAAAAGCAATTGCGGAAATTCAATATTTTTTTATACTAGTTGAGAAAACCAAGTCATATTTTTTAGTGTCTTGTTTAACCAAAGGCTTTATTAGGTTTATTTATTATTTCCAAATTATTATTACTCAAATTTGATCTGTGGGAAGTTTAGTTGAATTTCACTTAACTGCCTGAATTTCAAAAATGAACTTTAATCTAATAATACTGAAACATTACAAGCAACAAACCTTTTCAAGTTTGTTATAAATACTTATGAGTTGTGTTTTAAATAAAATTCAAATACGATAAAAGTATAACTTCAAATGTTTTAGCTGCTTTTTGTTAAACAGCTATTTTCATAGTCAGACATTTTTGTAAAAACATTTAGCATTGTACAGTTATTCCAATAAGTTTTTTGACTAAGTATTTATAAAGTTTATTTATAATTAAAAGTTATTTATAAAGTTATATAAAAAAATTTACACAGCAAAATCTTATATTAATCTTGTAAATTGTTTTCACAAATCTTGAAAAAAATTTTAACATGTATATATTATATATTATACATTACGTACATTACATTATGTATATATTATATATTATACATTACGACAACTGAGTATTTTCAAAAATTAATTTTTTTAGTTTGCAAAAATCATATTTTGAGCTTTAGTTTCCATTTTACCAATGTTACAAGTCATTTAAAGAATTAAAACATTTTTATAAAATACACTCAATCCGGTCAAAATCTGGTCCCCCTCCCCCTCTCCCTTAAAAAATAGGGAGGTGGAATAATTTTTTTTTTTTTTTTGACTTACCCAAAAAATTTCCTGTAAACGCCCCTGATTTTTTATTTATTTGTTTACACAACTTCATAAAAAAAAGTTCAGCTTTTCTCTCAGAAAGATATATAGACAAAAATGCAGAAAGATATATAGATAAAATTAAGGTAATTAATTAGTAATCATGTATATAATAATGACAGTAGCAAAAAAATAAGAATAAATAATGGTTATAAACCTTTTAAAATGAAAATAATGAAAATAGAAAAAAAAGTTTATGTAAAATAACTACCTGTCCACGAAACGCCATTATCTTTTGAATAGTAACATGCTGGTTTCGTACTAGAAAAAATCATAAAACCTTAATCTCCTGTTTTGCATATACTTAGATGTTATATAGAATCAATGCAAAGAAAAATTACCAAATTTCAAAATAAAAATTGTTGGAATTCTATAAAAATTAATTGTTTTTTATTGGTATTTTGATTAATTAAAATATTCAAATACTCTTAGTATATACCTCCTAACATGCTGGTTCATGCAAACGTGTAGCTGAAAGTTTACAGCATCCCAATAAATACCTCGATTGTAAAACTCTAATGTTTTAAAATAACATGATTTTAGTTAAATTATTTTTATATATAAGAGGTTGTTAAATAATTTCTCTACCTAATACATGATTCTGATTTGATTGAACAACTGAGGCACAGTTTTGCCTGATATATATCTTTACTGTTTTATATTTTTTCCAAACTTTTCCAGCACTATTTTCAAAATATAATCTCATAGGAACTTCAATTTTGTACACATCAGGATATAAACATCTATCAATTGTATTATTGATTGAAGTAATAATCCGTTGTCTAATTCCAACATTAGGCAATGTGTGAAAAATCTAAAATATACCCATACTGATCTTCATAGAACTTTGTTCAGCTAAAAGATTTAATAAACAATAATACTTAGAATAAAATTTTAAAATTTTATGTATAATTTTATTTTTAAATAGAGATCGCGTTAGGTTTGTGGATAAGTTCTTTTCAGAATAGCCATAAAGACGGTTGTGGCTTTGTACCCATCTTAATGGATTCTTGGAAAAATATTTTTCAAAAGAACCTCATACATATTGATTTTAACAGACTTTGTCGTTTGTTTTTTTTGACTAACTAGATTTTAAAACTAAAAATGTTTGTCAAACTAAAAAATATTAAGCCGCAAAACTTTCCCAACATAAAACTTGACTATTTTTTGGCAGGAAACTTAACTAAAAAGTAGTGATCAGGTTTAGAATCTGCATCATTAATGAGTTAGTGGCGTGAAAGCCACAGCGCATATCTAGATGGTTGAAAAGATCATTTTTCTTCATTAGTAGAATTAAAAAGTTTTGTGTCTAAGTTTTTGAAGCTTTTTTTTCTTTCCTTATTGATTTCCATAGCTATCTTTTTGCAAATAACTACTTCAATGTCTGATTTTTCAGGGGTATTAAATAGAATGCAAGAACCCCGTTTTTTACCTTGAGAAGATTGGACACAAGCTTTAGATTAAAGCATGATGTCTTGCGAACAAAATGTTTAACAGACATTATATCTGATATTTAAGTAGAAGTTTTTAAGGTTCAAGATAATTTTGGATTCATAAGAACTAATGTACTAGTGCTAGGTGTAGGTTGCACTGGATCACAAACTAAATCCTTAATCAAAGTTGGGTCTAGACGGTCTACAACGCTGGTCATAAATTCATCATCAGTAAATATGCTTAGATTTATTGGCCATATTCCAGATACTTTTGAACTCACTTATGATGTTTGTAGGAGCCATCCTAGCAAACATTCTATAGCGGAATTTTAGAGCAACTTTTTAGGTATTTTGAGCAGACCCCTGTAGTTTTGCTCATTGGTTACTTAGTGGACCATTAGTGGCAGCCGCCAAAAGTGGTTAACCAATAATTAGCCACTATTAATATGTCGGAAACTTATTGGCTCACCATTTATAGCGGCTGTCTACTAATGTTCCACTAAGTTACCAAAACTCCAATGAACCTCTAAAAAATGATTAAATAGGTTACTACAAATTTACTAAAACAATGTTTGCTGGGTAATGTTTGCTGGGTAAGGTTTGCTGGGTAAGGTTTGCTGGGTAAGGTTTGCTGGGTAATGTTTGCTTGGTTTTAATGTCACAAAATACAAAATTCTTCATTAAAATAATATACATTTTCTGAAGTAGAAGCTATTTATTAGAATTAAACAATTAGTCTGCATGCAAAGAGCAGTTATAAAATATGACTAAACACCAAATTTACTTGGAAATAAACAGCTCACTGAGTTCAACCATTCCACCTCTTTCTCTAAAAATTTGTAGCCCAGTAGTCTAGACCAGTAGACATATTATATTGTTTATAAATAGTATAAATATGTCTATATATATAGTATATATATAATATATATATAAATATATATATATATATATATATATATATATATATATATATATATATATATATATATATATATATATATATATATATATATATATATATATATATATATATATATATATATGTATTTTTGTTCTTTATTACAATATTTATGATACATATGTTACAAATAATATAAAAAAAAAAAAGATAACAAGTCAAGATATCGTTAAGAAACAAAGTTTAAAAAGTTAAAATATAGAACGCGGATACTCAATGAAGACCATAAGGTCTTGTCACAGAGAAACTGCTATTGAAGAAATTAGAACTTTTTTTTTTTCTTAATGGTTTTTCCTTTTGTTGTGGCGTTTACGCCTTGCATCAATCAAACTACTGTGTCTTCCGAAGAGCTGACTCATGCGAATAATAATGTTTATAATTTTCTAAATGAATCTCTTGCACGCACTGAATTTAATTTGTTGAAAATATTAACTGAATATTATTAATTATTCAATATATAATAATTACTCAATATATATCAATTCAGTAATACATATTATTCATATATATTACTGCATATAATCAATGTAATCACATTTTCAGACTGAATAAAATATATTTCCATATCGTTCAAAAGATTCTGCAAAAGGACCTAGATACGATGGTAATCGCTGTGTGTTAGGCCAAATTACCAAATTTCCAATAGGTCAAATTACCAAATTTGATTAAATTTATATTAAAATTTAATAATAAAAAAGTTTAATATTAAATTGAAAGCGTTTAATAAATAAACATTTAATATAAGTTTTGTTTTATAGTTTAATTTCGTAAAAACATTTGCTAAAAACTTGCCAATTATTAGAAGTAAAACATCATAACCTTCCATTAACTTTTTATAAAAAACGAAACGAAATATACATATATATATATATATATATACATATATATATATATATATATACATATATATATATATATATATACATATATATATATATATATATATATATATATATATATATATATAATATATATATATATATATATATATATATATATATATATATATATATATATATATATATATATATATATATATATATATATATGTCATACTCACCTAACGTCAAATAGCCTGCTGCCGGGGGCTTCAGTACATACATCGACTGACAAATAGCCTGACTCACAGTGGAGTGCTGCTACATCGACTGAGGGTTTGGTATGGGTCAGCAAATTTTTCATTTATTATTTTTCATTTTCCTTCATTGTTTTCTAAAAACGCTCACTTAATTTAGGCTAGCAAAAAAAGTAAGCAATTGCGCATATAAATATGCTATAGTAGATATTCATATATATTTAAACAATTTAAAAAGTATTCTACAAAAAGAGTGCTCAATATTTTTAAAAAAACAGAGCAATTACAAATTAGTAGAAAATCACTTAGCAAAATTTTTTCTCATTTAACACTGTGTTTCGTCAAAAAAGACTCATCAGAAATGAATGATCAAATTAATAAAACTTCAATTTATACCAAAAATTAAATTACGGGAAGTCACATGGACCAATTCAGTGTAAAATCATCAATATTTTTATCTTTTAATTCCCATATATATTTTGACAGCATGGTGTCTTTTGAATACTTTTTATTTTTAAAAGATTGCTTATGATTGGCAAAACGTTTTTTCCATTCACCTTCTGTTATGCCAATATATTGTTTATCAGGTGCATTCTTAGAGGAGACAACACATTTATATACCACATTTTATGATAAGCAACTTCCACTCATTGGACAATTGTTTTTTTGTTTACAATTACAATTTTCTGTAGTTTTTTCATTTTGGATTTCTTTTTGTTTAACAAAGCATTGTTTTGACCTTTTATATTTCTTTCCATATTTTTTGTGCAACTGTAGCTAACTTTAATAGTATTTTGATTAAAAATTTTATGTAATTTTTTAGAGGGCGGGAAATGCTTATCGATCAATTTTAAAAACACTTTTCCTATGTTTGTAGAAACATTTTTGCTATACGGGGGGTTGAACCAAATTACATTTCTAGTTCTATTTCGCTTTTTTGTATTCTTTTTTTCAGGGTCAAATTTTAATTCAAAGTTTTCAAAACCACTTTTTTTAAGGGCATCTTCAAATATCTGTTTGGAGGAATTGAATACATTTTCATTAGAGGAGTTTTGGTTAAGCCTGTTATTAATTGAAATTGGGATTTGTTTTAGAATTTGGGGTGGATGATTTGAGTTAATATTAATATACAATAATTCATCGTTTGGTTTTTTGAAAGGCTTATATGTATTTTCCGAGAGGTTAAATGTGAATTCAAGAAAATTCACAATTTTTAAATTTATGTTTATTTCAATTTGAAAGCCAATATCTTTAAAAATTTTTATAATATCTTTTCTAATTTTATCAAGCTGTGGACCAGATTTTTTACGCATTACTATTAAACCATCGTGGCGATAAAGGCCTAAATCATTTATATTGATTATTTTACTTAATAAATCTAAAATATATAATCCAACTAATTCACAAATTTTTGCTCCATCATAACTGCTCATTGTTACATCGAAGCAGTTATGTATGTTTTTCTTTTTCACATTTAACCTGTCGGAAAATACATATAAGCCTATATATATATATATATATATATATATATATATATATATATATATATATATATATATATATATATATATATATATATATATATATATATATATATATATATATATATATATATATATATATATATATATATATATATATATATACATATATATATATATATATATATATTATATATATATATATATATATATATATATATATATATATATATATTATATACATATATATATATATATATATATATATATATATATATATATATATATATATATATATATATATATATATATATATATATATATATATATATATACATATATATGTATATATATATATATATATATATAGAAAATATGACTATTTTGGGATAAAATCCTTCTTTGATTCTTGCTTTGGATATTTGGCACGATTCACCGCTGATGTTTTTATTATTGAATCCCGTCGCTTCGTACCTACTACCTTCTTACTGGCCTTTGTAACCTCCTTCACAGCTCGTTCAACCATTTGGGTGTGACATTTAAATTTTGGTACAATGAGAGGTTCTGATACCAGGGCCAACAATTCGCTATTTGACATGTTCCTAATCAAAGGAGGTATGTCAGTTTCACTCCACTTAATCATTAGCTGCCACTTTGATGCTTTAAAATTTAGTTCAGGCACCCGGAAAAGACGTACAGAAGAAGCTTGATCTTGGTGATTAGCTCTGGCTGCAATGATCGTTTGAACAGCATCTATGCGGTCTGGCTTATGGAATGAGGCTAGTTCAGCTAGCAAAATATTTTCTGGATGGGCATAAAAAACGTTCCGATGAATGCAGCGCTGTACGATCTTCTTAGCAGCTCCAT